AAATAGAGTAAAAATTAAATCAAGATGATAGAATAATCGCACTAAAGATCCACCTATGTCAATATTCGCACAGAGACTAAGTATTTTATTAAGTTTTAAAAGTTGTATATGGAGATATTATATTTTAGGTAAATACAGACAAAGGTACCACTTTGTCTATATTAGCAATTGAGAGGGAACATATTGAATGGGAGGGATGAACTCAATGGATAACACTGATAACACATTAATGTTTTTTGAGTAGAGAGTTTTCACTTCTTGATTTTTCAATGATTAAAATAAGAGCAATGTGAGTGAGCTTGGAGACAAGGAGGGGTAGCATATTGATAAAATTGTTGGAGAGACCCACTTAGTGGTTGCAGCGAGTGCAAGTGCGAGGTTAGATTACTTCTAGTTCTTGCCATTCAAGCACATATTCGAGGAACTGGTGATGCAACACCAATAGCTCTTGATTTTTGCGACCTCTACATTCACTATAAAGTTTGTTGTATGAAATTGTAGAGTTGAGGTCTTTCTTGACTTATATTTGTGAATGTATTCTTGTTCTTAAGGATTAAGTAGTTGGTGCTAGGGCGAGTATTAAGGAAAGGAATAAGAGGTTTACTCATTTAGAGAAAATGATGCACTTCAAAAGTTAAAGCATGCCAATATCCTTATGAATTGAAGAGCTAGTTCTTGTTTTAAAACTTGAATGTGAGAGGAGTGCACAAATTAAATTTATTTTATAATAGATTATACATAATTAGTGTTACTTTTAAATAGAGTAATGGGCTATTTGATTTGAAGAGTTCTAAGTGTAGAATTTCAAGATCGGGGGCTTTGAAAAATGTTTAATTTGATTAAAATTTTAAAATTTACTCATCAGTTCATTTTTTTATATTTTTAAAAATTCCTTTTTTGCATTTGTTTTACACTTAGAGGTTGTTTGGTTTACAGCAAAAGGATTGAACTACATTCCTTTTGTAAGAGTTTTGAAAATTCAGCCATTTGGTCAGAAGAATTCAAAATGTTGTGTAAACTATGAATGTGTTTAGAACTTATTCTTTAGTTTTTTTTTCTGTGTATTTGAAATTTACTGAATTTTGACGAATTCCATATACACAATTCTATGTAAAGTATTGTCATCCGCTATCGCCGGCCACCGTCACCTTTGCTCGCTTACCCCGCTGCTAATAATTTATTTAAAACCTCATATATTTTGAAATATATTATTTTCATTCTACTTAAAAAAAAAGAGTCGTATATTTATTTTACAATGAACCAAATAACTCCAAAGTATTCCAAATACAATACATTATTTTTGCATTGCATTCATTTTAGATTGAATTACTTTTTGTCAGCAGACCAAGCAATCTCTTTATTAACATCGTTGATGTGTTTCTGATGTATAATTTTACTTTATGTTATTTTTTAAAGAATATAAAATTTCAAATATTTGTATTCAAATGGGACCAACAATTTATCAAAGAGCTGGAATTATCTCAACAGGAAAAGATAATATGCTTCTTTTATTTAAAAGAGAACAAAAAATTTAGAAGTCCTAATAAAAATAGTAAAACACTAGAGCTACTCAAAAAGGTCAACCTTTCAACTCATTTATCTCAATACATCTCTTGCATTTTTGACGTGTACAAATTCTGAGGTTTATGTCACGTGCATTACTGAAAGTACAACACCTTTAATTGTGAATGTTAGAAGTATTTCTTCATGAAGCATTCTTCTCATCGCGAGAGTAATAACGTTGGAAGTTAGGCATAAAAGCTCGTCGAGTATTTTGAAATATTATTTAAGATAATAGATTTATTGTTGGGCTAGAGATTTTATATATACAAGCATCACATTATAGGAAACGTTGGGTGATTTGAATCATTTCACATGTTTTAAAAGTGTTATCTATATTTTTCTACAAAGTAGGGGCTAGGATGTGTTTAGGAACATGTTAAAAGGCATTTAGAGCTATTAGAGATGTTTCTTCCACTTGTCTACATTAAGTTTATCGTATCCTCTATAGGATGTTATTGAATGTTTTTTGTTTCCTTGACAAAAAGGAGGCTCAACTATATTAAAGCCATCCATGGCTAAAATTATTAGCAATTGTTTGCTAAGCCATTTGTTGACATTTTGAGTTTTGGGAAAAGAAAAGGATGAAGTATTGTTCATTTGAAAAGTTTAAAAAATTTGGCTTTTGCCTTTTCTTCGAATCTTTTCTCATGAATTTAACATTTTTATCACTTTGTTCTTTTGTTTTATGTTGTCCTTTTTGGATGTGCTGCTAAATACCTGATATGAAATTTGCTATCGCGATTTATATTCATCTATTAATTGAATTTAAGAAAACTAATCCATGTTAGCAGTGTCTTCAACAATTAGGATTTCTTGATTAACGTATGCTTGGTCTGGATATAAGTGGTTATATTGAGCTTCCAGGCACACCACATTATCTTGTATGATAACTTCTTGAGGCAACCTGGTTCTTAGTCTCTTATAGACTAGATAACGAATCATATCTAAAGGCCTGAAGCAACTAAACAAAGTGTGTTAGTGGGGTTTCCCTTTTATACAGTTCCAAGTGTGCAATCTTGCCCTTAGTGAGTGAATTGTGAGGCTAAATATCCATCAGATAGGAGCAAATGTAAATTTTAAATTTATGTGCTTCTATATGATCTGAGATAGATGTTGCGAGAGACAAATATATTTGTATTATATTTTAAGACTAGGTCATTGACTTTCTTTACCAAAAAAAAAAAGCAAAAAGTGGACGTTTCTCCTAGTTTTATGATCACATCTAGAGAAGTAGTAGTTTTGGCTAGCACCACTAAAGCTTAGTACTGCTGCAAATCTTTGATTTTTGTGATGAATGACTTGTTGATGTAAATGATTAAAACATAATTGATGCGAAGATCTCTAGAAGGGAAGAGATGGCCCGGGTTTTAAAGTATGGATGTGAATGGAGTACATACAATTTAGTAGACTAAACTTGATTGGGAGATGGATTATCTTTTTGGGTATTGCAAGCAAGACTTATTTGGCTTCTTTCTTCCATCCTTTGAGATGGCACTAAAATTGGTTGCACACCCTTGTAGTGTAAAACTTGCTTCAAGGTGATTATGAATCAAAGAAATACGTTTTTTTTTTTTTTTTTTTAACCAAAGAAATACTTGCTTTGGCTGGTGGGATTATTTCGCCTATGTCGAGGCTATGAATGAATTAAGTTGAGCCGAGTACTTTTTCCTTTTTTTCTTTATTTTGTTCTAGTTAGCTCATATAGTTTCTCATCAAATTTGGCTGAGTTTAAATATGCCTGAGGTTCAAAATTTTGTTCAAGCTGGTTTATTAGCCTTCTTATTGAGTTCAAGCTATAATGAAGCTTAACAAATTGAATTTAATTAATCAAATGTTCGATGCTAATGACTTGGGTATTGCTTTTTTTTGTGGGATATAAATGGATTTGTATGTTTTAATCAAACATGACATAATTAACTAATTATTGTTGCTAATTTTTGGAGAATTTAAATATTTATAAAAATCAAAAATAGATTTTTAGCTATCTATTAACTATATGTTTAGTATTTTCATCATATTTAACACGTTTAGTAATACATAAATTATTTCATCATTAAATAAATATTTTATTGTGCTCTTGATGAACAATAAACAAATATGGTTAACACTATAAATAAATGAGTTGGCCGATGGTTGAGCTTTTCATTTGTATGTTAGGTTTATAAAATTTTGCCCAAATTTGTTCAATTATTTAAATAAAGTAGCATGAATGCGTTATATCTGAACAAGCTTCGAATTGTTCATTTTGGTCTCGGCAATGTTTCGTTCTTGTTAATCATTTGAAAGTGTTGGGCCTTAAATTGAATATCTGTTTAATAAGATTATTGTCTAAAGTGTTGTAAGAGTTATAGTTATTTGATAAATAATTATTGAACTAAATTTTATTAATTTCTTTTATCTTATGATATTTAGATTAATATTAAATAAGCTATAATTAATTAAAATAATAAAATTCTAGACTTCATGAAGGTATTTTTCTAGGAAGTATTTACTCCTTTTTTAAGAAGTTTTTACGTCTTACATACAATTGAATTTTTCTCACAATAATTAAGCAAACGATTTAAAACTGTTGCCGTTTGAGCTGATTGCATTCCAAAATAAAAAACCAACGAAACCCATTTATGCAAAATTTGGTAACTACGTGAATGAGCTTATGATGAGTAATATGCGTTCTACGCTCAAATGCTGAAGTTTTCTCTTGAAATTGGATATCTTTTTATAATGAAGGGTAACACTAAGGGGACTGAAAGGTTAATGTGGCTACTCTGAAGGCACAATATAACAGCTTTTCTGTTTCCTAGTCTCGAACTTTGATTTTTGAGGATGGCAACTATAGTGATGCTTTCTATTTTGTAATCAAGTGGATTGTTATTTAGAAATAGTTTTCTTTTCCTTTTTCGGACTTGAACTTAAACCGGGCAAAATTTTGTTTTAGAAAAGTAGAAATTGATAGTTGGTGTAAGTTTTGGTGCAGTTACCTTTTTAGCTTGTGTTATCTGATAGCTTATTAATTTTCTTAATTATGCATGTTTCAAACTACTGCTTTGTTGTAGAATTTTAAAGCACCTGCAATGAAAACTAAGATCAGATTGTTTACTGGTCTGGTTAAATCATTTACATGCATCCCACCCAATTCCTATGTATTTACATGTCCAAAACTCAAACCTTTACATTTATATCACCCAAATTTCATACCAAATAAAAATTTTAACTTCAAAAATTGAAATACACCTATTTCATGCATAGGTAAGGTGACATGTATGTAAAAATTTACGTTTAGGTGTTTGATATGCAAATACAGAGTTGAGGGGTATATATGTAAATTTTCCTTTTTTTTAATTATTTTTAACTTACTTTCAGTTCTTGTTGTTAAGAGTTCCATTTCTTTTGCTTGGTGCAATAACGGACCTCCCAGTAATAATTTCTTGTGTTGGCAGTTCACCGGGTTCTTGGCTTGAAGGGATTGGAGTTCCAGAGCCTCTATCATTTTACCATTGGAAGTCCAGTATTAGATAAGCGAATAATGAGCCTTCCTGCTTATCCTGGTCCAGGAATTGATGCATGATCTCAAATGGCAAGCTTTCTTTCTTAATGCTATCCTGACCGTCCATTCTTTTATGGATCTACACTAGGCCTAATAATTTTGCATAAAAAAACTGCATGCATGACAGTCAACAAAAGAAAATGTTGTATAATCTGTATAGTATTACAGGATAGTTGTCCTGGGTGGGGGCATTTATATACAATGCACTTGAAATATTACTATTTACAAAGCAACCTTTCTCTTGCATCCTTCTTTTTTCAAATTGTGCCAACTAAATTCACAATGAAACCCATACCCTTATTTTTCATTTTTATCAAATACCCAATAGTTTGATTGTTGCATGCTTAAATACATTGGTTTGGAAGTTTTTAAAAAATGTCCATGGTGGTTATGTTGTAATTTGCAATATTTCGGGTGCTATGAATGTAATTATGCCTAAAGAAAAGTTATTTGTTTAATTTTTTTTCAAAATAAGGATTTTGCAGATTTAAGAAATGAGTGCTTGTTCATGGTGCGATACCCTATTTATTCTGATTTGCTGGCATGAATCTCTTCCATTCACCGTGCCTTCCATGCTGCCATCTCTTGTCCGTTCAGATTGTAGCATGCATTCATCCCAATGCGAAGAGAAAGTTAACCATAACACGCCTGCTCGAATCCTAACAAAAAGCCAGAATGCGTTGCACCCACTCTTAGGGCAGAAATATTTACGCACGAGAATGCATGCAGTTTTTTGTGCGCAATCCCCTCTTGATAATCTCTGCAAAGGTTATTGGAGGATTATTGCGGAGTTATTTTGGTGTTATTTGGAGTCGATACCCTCTGCGATTACATTTGCACATTTCATGATTACTTTCACATTTTCTCTGGCGTTAGTGCCTTGATTCCGAATAATGCCGAAATAACTTCGTAATAGCCTCCCAATAATCTTCGTAGAGAGGTTATTGAGAAGCTATTGTGAGGGGATTACACACGGAGAGCTGTGTGTCTTCTCCATACTTAAATATTTCTCGTTAGGACTGCCCTATCTGAAGTCAATTACCACACCGGTCCCATACTTGAGACCATTGTTTTGAAAACCGAACTCGCTTGGTTGGTCTGGTCCAACTGGGAATTGGGCATGGTATTGGTTTGGGTGGGAGTAAAAATCGGGTTCGAACGACCCCAACATAGACAAAAAATTTTCTTTGCAGACTCTTGACGTAATTTTACGTGTGGCGGAAGTTATTCCGAGTTATTTTCAGGTTATTTCTGAATTATTTTCAATAATATCGAAATAACCCAGAAATAACTCAAAAATAAAGACCGCGGATTATTTTGGTATTATTGAAAATAACCCAGAAATAACTCACACCACAAGTAGAGCTACTTCAACGCTCCACACAGAAAAAGCGCTCCAGCATAGAACTGCCCATGCCGCAGATCCAATCGGAAAATCCTCGAAATAACCCAGAAATAACCCAAAAATAAAGACCGCGGATTATTTTGGTATTATTGAAAATAACCTAGAAATAACTCACACCACAAGTAGAGCTACTTCAGCGCTCCGCACAGAAAAAGCGCTCCAGCACAGAACTGCCCATGCCGCAGATCCAATCGGAAAATCCGAAAACTGCTCTCGGTTTAAGAGAACCAGCATGTTTCTTGCCGGCGACTTGATCCCCTCACTGTCCGTCACCGACTTGAAATGGATTGTTCTTGTTCTTCAAAATTTTCTTTCATTATGGAGAAAGTTTTTTGAGGTCATTTTTTAGACTTGTCTTATCGAGTGAAGAACAATGTAAGGAGGAAAAGCATGGAATCAATCCATATGAGGGCTCTGCAGGGGGAGTTTCTATGGGAGAAGTAAAGCATTGGAGACGGGATTAATAGGGTTAAAAAATTGAGTTTTGAGGAAGAAGATGATTACACAGTGGGCAACAAAGACTTCTTCAATGCCACGTGGCAAATTCACCATGAGATGAATTGTGGGATTTTCTCAAGGAAATTAAGCTAAGAGATCATGAGCAAACTCTTTATTCTCATAAAAACCTAAAATTTGTTATAATATTCTCACATTATGCAACCTATTTAATATATTTAAAATTTAACCTAATTTATTTATTTATTTATTTTTGTACAACTCATATTTTAAAACTATCAATTTTTTATTCTCACATCATAAAAAGAAATTTAGTATTCACTGTTTATATAAAAAAATAACTTTGTAGTTGTGAGGGATGTATAATGGACTAATTTAATTAAAACACATTATTTTTTATATTTAAGATTTTTAAATTCAAAATTATCTGTTTGACTTGATAGAATTTATAAAGCCAAGTCTTGTATTAAAAAAAAAAATAACCACTTAATTGATAATTAAAGATAATTAAATAAGTGATTTGGATTAAAAAAACTAGGACTTGGTCAACTAGGACTTGTTTACTTAAATTTGATTTTACAATAAATTTGATTTAAAAAAAAAATTTTAGAAGAAATGGTGTTCTAAAGTTGGCATTATTGAAGTTTATACTATCGTTTGAATAGATTATTTTTTGTGCTTTATTAAATTAAAAAAAAATTACTTATTTGGATAAGTTATTAGCTAGAGTTTTCATTTATAAAATATTAAAATACCCATATTTTTTGAAATAATAATAAAATTCATTTCTATTATTAATTTCTAAATAAAAAGACAGAAATGCAAGCTTACAATGTATGTAATTTATTAAAATGAGTAAAAAAAGTAATGGAAAATGACTAAAAAAAATGCAAACCTATTACACATGTGACTTGGTAGCATTAAAAAATTATGTTTGATAAGTTTAGATTAGCTGAAAATAATGATTGATGTATGCACCCATGTCACTGCAGGGCGAAATCAACCTTTTTTTAGGTGGAAAACTGCCCCCTAGACCCAACGTGAGGGGGTTTGGGCAATGAAGGGCAAAATGATACTTTAGAAGGGGTAAAAAAGATATTTCAATAGTGGCAAAAGACCAAATTGTCCTCCCAGATAAGTTCAAATCTAGATTTGATGAGGGCAATTTCCCCTGGACCCTTATTCGGCTCGACCCTATCTATGTGTTGCATTATGTAAATTTAATTTTTTATTGAAATTAAAAAATTACTTCTGTTATAAGTTCATATTGTTTTAATTTCAATTAGTGATGTCATTTAGCATGTGTTTGGGGTTGTTGCTGCTTTTTGAATAAGTAACTAGGAAGCTGCTTACTGGAGAAGCAAGGGAAGCAGTTCATAGCAATTGTCAAACAACTACTGCTGGAATAACAGTGAATTTGTTTCTCTTATAATTATAGATTCTTCTTGATATATGTGCAAAAACATGATTTATGAGTTTGACGATGTTATTTGTCATTCTAACCAATGAGTTAAACCCTATATCAAAATATTTGTTAATTGTCTATATTGAGTGGTATAATTGATAAGAAGCAACTCAAATGGACTCATTATGCAACATAATATATGAAGTAATGGCTTGTACTTCTATGGGTGTAAATCAAAACGATCAGCAAATTACGATTTTATTTTCTGGACATCTGAAACATACTATTAGTTTTACTTGGATAATCTTAGAGTAGGTCACCAATCCACTTATCACTCACAAATGAAAATGACACACATGATGTCCTACACAAATTTGTCTGATAGTACTCATGGATAAGATATACTGTAATAGTCAAAATTGTTGCTCGTTTCACTATATCTATAGTTTTCTCTTCATTTGATGAGTTCATTTGAATATTTTATGCATGTCAAAAAATATAAAAAATAACAAATTATGCTATATGTGAAAAACTATTTAACTAATGTACTACAACCAGTGCAAAACATTACAACACTAATATTGTGTTTTTGAAAATGCTAATGTAATATGTGGCAAGAAACTAAGATTGTTAGATGTATCTTTTTCCACCTCGTCTCACTGGAACAACATTCGCCAACTGATCATTCATATTCAGGTGCTTGACAACTCGTGCTTAACTACTATACTCAGTCGCTTATATTTAACTACTTGTTGAGCTGAATTTTTCAATGAATTAGAAAAAAAGACCCTAAGTTTGCTAGGACCCTTACAGGCCCAAAACAACTGATTTTGGTCATATGTATTTAGTTAACTAATTCTCTTATAAGTTAGAAAATTATTCAGCAAAAATAATAAAAAAATAAAAATATTAAATTATTATAGTAATATTGTTTATGACCCATCAATCCTTATAAATAAGTCAATAAGATGCCACTAGGCTTATTCTTCTTTTGTTGCTACTGTTCCTACCTTTGTATTTGGCTTCTTGTGCTCTCACCATTGCAAGAATTTCAGATGGAAGTAGATGAACACTTTGAAGGAGAGGAAGAGAGTGATGAAGCGATGAAGGAGGGTTTTGCCTCCCATCAAGGGAAGGCTTCTCTATAGGTTCATTCAGAGACAATTGTCATTGATTTGGACTAATTGAGAGAAAATCCCTCTTAGGATTCGATTTCATAGATCTAGGTCTCGTTGAAAAGTCACTAAAGGAATTACTTGTGTGTGGTAGTGTTGGCAAAATGAGTGAAATTTCTACATCATCATAATTTTTGCTTGAATGCATGTGATATCTTCACAATTGGATTGAGGCTACTAGAGTTTTGATTGGAGAACAATGGAAGACTTTGTCAAAATCCACCAAGGATTAGGAAGAGTTGAAGTTGGCTTCATCTCACATTGTCGACTCAGTGACATATCATGGACAGATGGTTGAGGACTTCGAAAGGGAGTGCTTTGATATGAAGACTCAATGCATTGAGCTTGAATAAGAACTTCAATGAGCCAGGGACTATATGGTATAATGAAGACATTCCCATAGTTTATGGACTCATTTTCTAAGAGCACTACATATAACTCCATGCTTTAGAAGAAATTTTTGGATGAGATTCAGTATTGTTTGTGGAACTTAGGCAAAGAGAGATCCTCTCCTCGGAGTAGGTGAATATAACTTCAAGGAGTGGTTAAATATGGAGAAATTCAAGGAAATACTAGAGGTTTCCAATTTTGAGGAATAAGATAATGATGAAAAAAATGAGAGGGGTTCGACCAATGTATGATTAATGTCATTTGGAGAACTCCATTTTGTTTTTTCTTTCCTTTCTTGTTGTACATTTAAAGTGACTAATATAGTTTTTTTAGTAATACAATAGCATTTGTTTTATTAATAATACTTCTATATTATCAATTTATTTTTCACACATTTGACATGAATATATCGAAAAATAATATGCTAGTTTAACCTTTGGAGGAGAATCATAGTCCTAACATAAAAATTGTACTTGAAGCGTATCTTTTCAACTTTGGTTGCATTTGCAACGCACCTTCATATTTATTCTTTACAACAAATACCAAATTTTAAGGGACAGGACGTTAAAGATATAGTATTTACTGTTTATTGTTTATGAGATTTAGTATTTACAATGTATGCTAGGGAATACTTATTACACATTTACCTTCACATTTTAACATCTCAGCCAATGGATGAGGACTAAGTCACGTCTCATTGCAATTGGTTAGTTCTCATGAATTAGAAACAAAACCATCTCATTTCTCATTGCAATTGGGGGGGTGGGCTCTAGGGACAAGATGTTAAAGATATAGTATTTACTGTTTATTGTTTATGAGATTTAGTATTTACAATGTATGCTAGGGAATACTTATTACGCATTTACCTTCACATATTAACATCTCAACCATTGGATGAGGACTAAGTCACATCTCATTGCAATTGGTTAGTTCTCATGAATCAGAATCAACACCATTTCACTAATTTTTGATCGAACCACCAGTTCGAAGGGATCCCACATCATTTGATGCATAAATTGTTATTTTCATGATCATAAACTAGCGAACGGTTTACAGTCAAACCGGTCAAACCTGCCTACTCAATTTGATTTTTAAAACCTCTCATAACATAATAACGGCCTAAATTCATCAAAGAATTAGTTGTGCTTATATTTCTATTTTCATAGAGTAAAATTTGCTGTAAAAGTTAGCAACTTATTAAGCGAGAAACCCATCAGTTGTTTAACTATTTACTTTTAATATTATGTGAGTATCAGTAATTTAAAAATGAACAAAAATTAGGAAGTCATTGCATTGCTCTACATTACATGATTGGAAGAACTCTTAAAAGTTGAAAGCTATTAGGTTTTTCATTCAAAAGCTATGCCATGTCTTGGTAAACGATTGTATGTGGAAGCCCCCAAAATCCTCCATTTGAACCTTGCCAGGAATTTTATAGCTCAAGGCCATCGCCAACTTTCAAGACAATCACAGCCTAACATATTTCAAAAATGAACATTAGCAAAAAAGTGATTATGAAAACTCATTGTGCTATAGAACATGAATACATAAGTTACAACTCATGAACACTTTGAAGAGATCAAATCTAGGTGGAAGAATTTGATATTGTCATTTTCAGGCTATTGGAACAATCAGTTTTTTTTTGGGATATCAGGTAGAAATGAAGATCAATTAAGGAAATATGACATGAAAGTATCATAATAAACTTATTTTGGGATTAATATACAGAAGATGAGTCGACGAGACCCCGAAAGACACCTATCACCCTTGAAGGCCTAAGGGAAGCATGACTCATTCAATGAAAAAAAATATTATATCCAGTAAATCGGATGTGTGAACGATTGGCATGGATCATACCATACCACCAGATGCGCGGTGTGGTGCAATCCATCCGGACGACGAACGGACGTACTAATTTCTCCATTTCATGAATTTAGTGAAGTGAGCATTGTGGCAAAGGGAGCTTGATGAATCCAAATTGAGACGCCAATTTGCAATATGTTAGCTAAATGGATAACAACATGATGCACAACATATTTTCAAAAAATTTAACGGCATATGAGATGATCTCTTCTAACTAGTTGCCAGTCACACTGCAATTGTTATCTTCATGTTTGCTGAAAGTGGTGAAAATACCCAGAACTTTCAAAGCAAAAATTAGGAAACTCAGACATAACAATAAAACAATTCCTCATAAAATGTTGGAGGAATCAGTCGAAAGAAGATGAAAATCGAAACTCGTCAAGCTGCTTCAGAGGGAAGTTCAGTAAACTATACTGAAGATGCCAATGCTAGGGAATATGAAATGAGAACTTGTGTTGCTCTGTATTCAACCAGGACTAATCCAAGGCGAACGCAGAAGATGGTGGGGGATTAGATAGCGCCATAGTCATTGGGAAAAATTCAAACTTTTCTACCCTATACTACCACGGACCTGGACCAGAGAAGCCAAGATTAAATCTTGATTGAAAAATGAGGAGCAGCTTCATCTGCTAGCATGAATCTCCTCCATCTTCGCCCTTCTCCGGCTGCCATCTTCCCTCCCTCTGCACTCCACCGCATCTATCTCAAAGCGAAGAGAAAAAAAACCAAAACGCAGCAACTCAAATTCCACCAGAGAGCCGATGGCGTTGTTCCCATTGCGAGCTTACCCTATCCGAAGTCATCTCCCACCCCTCTCCTCATATCCGAGACGTCCACCTCCCTTACCACCGAAGAAGCCCTCGAGCGCATATTTCTCAACCTGCACTCCGCTCTCGCTGGAGGTATCCACATTGAACCCTCCACTTTCTCCTCCCTCCTGGAGCTCTGCTTCCGCATCGATCCTTCCCAGCGCCGAGCAGCCGCTCTGCACCGCCTCATCCCGGCCTCCCTTCTCCATTCTAGCGCCAACATCTCCTCTAAGTTGATTCGTCTCTACGCATCCAGCGGCCTTGTAGAGAAAGCCCACAACCTCTTCGACAACTTGCCCCCCAGTCATAAAACCGCAGCTTTCCCCTGGAACGCTCTCATTTCCGGCTACGCAGACATCGGTCTTCACGAGGATGCTATGGCACTCTACCATCAGATGGAGGAAGAAGGTGTCGAGCCGGACCGATTTACTTTCCCTCGTGTCATCAAAGCATGCGCTAGTATCGGATCCATCCCTCATGGCGAGTCTGTACATCGCCACCTCGTACGCTCCGGTTTCGCCACCGAACCTTTCGCGCTCAACGCGCTCGTCGACATGTATGCCAAGTGCGGTGACATTGCCCGCGCCCGCCGTATCTTCGATCAGATCCTCGATCGGGATCCCGTCGCCTGGAACTCCATGATTAACGGGTACATCCGCCATGGCTTATTTGCGGAGGCCATTGAAACGTGCAGAAGAATGCTAGTTGGTGGTCTTGAGTTAGATACTGTGACCATCTCCTCGTTGCTTGCTGGTTGTGCTTCTTCGAAGTGCAACATGGGTCTGGAGATCCATGGCTGGATCCTCCGCCGCGGGCTTCTGCTGGGTGTATCTGTAGCCAACTCTTTGATCACTATGTACTCTATGCTCGGCCAATTAGACCGTGCGAAGTTCATTTTCAGTACCATGCCGGAGAAGGATTTGGTCTCCTGGAATGCCATTATTTCTGCCAGCAGAAGAGACCGGCGGGTGCTCAGTATATTCCGGCAGATGGAGGATTCAGGTGTGTCGCCGGACGGCATAACGTTTGTATCATTGCTCTCGGCTTGTGCTAATTTGGGCCTTGTTGAAGATGGCCGGAAAAAAGAGCAAAAGAATTAGGCGAGATATTTATTATTTCCATAGATCAATAAAAGAGAATGTGATAAGTTATAGTATCCTATTTTATTCTTACAGTGGGAGTAACACTTTCATTATCACTTTAATAAATCCCTGTACATCAATAGTTGTGACCATCTATAAATTATATGAGGTTTTTTTTTCCTCCAAATCTTACTTTTTAGTACCTTTATTCACTGGGTCTATCTTTATCTGCTTGTATTAACTAAGTTTTCTGCACCAAAGGTTGTGAAAATTGCTAATTGAAAGTTGCAATGAAGCATAATTCATATGCGTGAATAAGTTAAATCGACGATGAGGAGCAGGGGCCAAATCAACCTATTGTGAGAAGAGCAATGATGTTAGTGAAGGGTGTCACTAGTAAATAAGGGTTGATTTTGGATTTGATTTTGATTTTGATTATGATCATCAAACTCTTGCTGTGATGTCCATCAATTGTCCTATGTCGAATGCTCCTGTGATGAGTCAAGCTGTCAACCTCATGGCTTTGGTTCAGGTAAGTCTGTTTTATAAAAAAATAAACAATAATCTGTACAATATTATAATTTTTTTAGGTTTTTATTTTTCTTGTAGGTGTGACCGGTGAGCGTCTTGGACAATTATTAGTAAAAGCCTACCAAATTTGAGTCATCCTTGAAGGTATGCCTCTTCATTTGAAATGTTTTCTTAAGGAAACTTTTTGTTGGTTGTTCTGAGTGGGCATATGGTACATTGAATGTAATTAAGCTTCTGAATTTTTTATCAATAGAGTCAGAGGTCACATCTTTCACAGTTCTGGGGATTTTATTCTTGTTCTTGAGTAAAATATTTGTGACATTGATTTATTGAGATTCCCTTAATAGCTTTTTGAGTAGAGTGTTTTTACTTTTGCAATACTTAATGAATATAGCCAAAATAATTTCAATGAGGCAACCTGGAGATAACAAGGAGGGGCAGATTGTTGAAATTATTTGAGAGACTTCCTCAATGGTTGGGGAATGTGCAAGCTTTGAGGGTGGATTAGGCCTAGTACATGCCCTTGAAGCACACATTCAGGGAACTCGGGTTACATCTCCCCTAATTGCTCTTGATTTTCACTGTTCGGTGTCATCTCATTCAGCGAAAAGTTTGGTGGATGAGATTGTAGAGTTTTCATCTTCCTAGTTTTATATGCTGTAATGTGTGCATGCTCATGAGGATTAATTTTTTTGGCACTGAATTGAATGTTTTGGAAGGGATGAAGAGGGTTATCTTTTTGGGGAGAAATATGCACTTCAAAAGATGAACCATGGCAAGTTATGTATGAAGTGCTAGTTTTAAAACTTAGATGTAAGAGGAGTGCACATATGTAAGTTACTTTTTAACAAGCTTGACATGGTTGATGTTATTGTTTAACAGGTTAAGGAGTTGTTTGATTTGAAGAGTTTTGAGTTTAAAATATTTCAAATGTAGGAGTTTTAAAAATGTTGGTATTTAGTTTGATAAAAAAATAAATTCAAAATAAATTTTTGAACAAGTTAAAATTCACATCTTGTTCATTTAAGGTGTATTTTAAAATTGACTGATTTTTAAATACATTATAAGCTATCGCTACTGCCACTAGAGACTAGTGGTTGTCTCCCTTGTCTTTGGCTATTGTTGGGCAACCGCCACCGACCATTGTCTTACCTCCACCATCATCATCCTTCGGTCTTCACGACCCATTGTCAGACCACTCCAAACTACCACCACAATTGCCATCACAAGACATCGCGGCCTGTTACATTCACCAGGCGCCATTAGTTCTCCCTTTTCATTCGCCATGGCCGGCCAGCTATCACCAGCCTTTGTCCTACCTCGAACATCATTTATGATCGGTGTTCACATCCCCTTGTCCTACAACGATCGCAGCCATAGGATATTGCGGCTTGTTATTGTCAACATCCTTATGCTGCCATGTCGATCACTGTTGTCTAGTTTTATATTGAATTTATTTTACATTAAACCAAACACAAAAAGTATTCTACTGCATTAATTTTGCACTCAACCAAACATGGGGAAAGTATTTTCAATACATGATTTAACTTTATAATGTATTTTGAATATTTAAAAATTCTCAATACTTATGTAACTAAATGACACCTAAACATCCCAAATAATTGGAGCACCATAAAAAATATAACACATTCTCCCAATAGGGGAGATCATGTGCATTCTTTATTTAAAAGAGAACACAAACTCTAAAAGTTCAATAAAAAAATTAAGAGGTCGTTTGATTTGCTGAAAATAAAATATAATGTAAAAGGTTTACAAAGTACTCTGATTACAATTTATTTAAAATATTTTAAAGTTGTTTGATTCATTGTAAAATAAACTTAAGTTTTTACTTTTTTTTATTTGGTTTGTAGGTTGAAAATAGTGTATTTAAATATATATTTTTTTGTCCTTTGGTAGTGTGAGATGGGGGTCGGCAGGCCATCGACAGAGGTAGGTTGGTGGTTGGTGGTTGGTGGGAGGTGGGCGTAGGGGTGTAAAAATTCACCCGACACACCAACACGATTCAAACTCGACTCGAAAAATTCAGGTTAGGGTTAACCCAAATATTTTCAACTCGGTTTTGGATCAGAGAATTTGAACCCGTTTATTATTTGGGTCAGGTTCCTCCAAAACCCAAATATAACCCGAATAAGCACGAAAGTTCAAGTCTGGTTCGAGTTAGTGGGTCAAGCTTGGGTTCGGGTAGTGCTGTAATCAAGTCGAGTCGAGCGGAATATGTTAGCAAATTTCGGACTTGACTTGGTATAATTATAAGTTGTTCATGTCGGCTTGAGCTTATGTTGAGCTTTCATGTATTGTTTAAGATTGACTTATATAAATTTTTAAATAAGCTATTGAATGATATTTAAATGAGCTAATGAACGATCTAAAAATTCAAACTAGCATCTAGATTTCCATACAAAAAATTCAATAAATAATTTTACAAATTTGATCGCTGCTATTAATATATTGATTATAAACTTTAAACCCTACAGGATCTTAAATCTCCTTTCTCCTCCATTTTTCCCTAAATCCCTCGTTTAGGAGATGCTTAATAGAATAATTTGTGTAGCATTCAAGTATTATTTAACCTAAATCTTATCAAATAACTAAAAATGACAATTTTAAGACCTACAAATACATAATATCAAGTTTTTATATATCATATATGATACGAGCTATCAACAAACAAGTTTTTAGTTAAATAAATTTAATTTATATAATTATCATATATGGTATGAGTTATCATCGAGTTTATGTACAAATTTGAATGCCCACGATCGAGTCTTAATCGAGCCGAGTTCGAGTTGTTCATCGAATGCATTGGTTTAGTTACAACCCTAGGTTTGGGTTTTAGTTTTTAACTCGTTTATTATTATGGTCGGGTTCAAGTTGACCTTATTCGGGTCGAACCCGAACCCAACTCACTGACCCGATTTGACACCCCTAGGTGGGTGGAGGCAGCAGGTTGTTGGCTTGCTGCAGACAACTGGCAGAAGTGGCCTACAGACAGCCGCAGTAGACGGTTGACGGCGGGCGGCGGAGGCCGCTACAGGTAGCAGGCAATGACGATGAATGGGGGCTGGCGGGCGGGGGTGGGCTGCGGGTAGCAGCTTGTCGATAGTATTTTATATTTTAATAAATTGATGTAATTTAAATTCGGCTCCAAATTCAGCCAAGATGAACTGCGATGTAAACTTGAAATTTGTTCATACTTTACATTATATTTATAATTCTTCATACCAAATATATAATTTCTAAAATCATTGTAAAAGAATTACAATACACCACAAATTCACTCAATCAAACGACCCCTAAAACTCTAAGACTACTAAAAAGTTTCTTTCAACTTACGTTTTAATACACATTGGAGTTTTGACACGCATGATCTTTGAGGTTTATATCACATGTATTATTGGATGTTCAACACCTTTAATGGTTAATATTTGACCTATTTCTTCACAAAGCATTCTTCTCAGCACTATACTAATAGCATTTGAATTTAATATAGGAGCATGTTATTCATTTTGAAATACTTTTTGAACTAATAGATTTTTCATTTGGCTAGAGGTTTTAAATATACAAGCATCATGAAATAGGAAATATTTGGCGGCTTGAATCATTTCACTTAATATATATTTCGTAAGTGTAAGTTTTATTTGATAACAAAGGAGGGGCTTGGAAGCGTTTATGAACATGTTAGCATTTAAAGCTATTGGGCATTTCTTCCACTTATACATATCAAGTTTGTTGTGCTCTCCATATGATGCACATTGGATATTTTTTTCTTCTTAAAGAAAGAGAAGCTCAAACATTGTCATTGTCAGTCCCAAGTCCAAATGTGAAAAGTGGAGGTTTGCGTTAGGTAGTCGACAACCAACGTAAAACTTATCGAAAAAATCATGACATGAATCCTTTTGATCATTGTTTATAGGATGCAATGAAGAAATAAGATTCATGTAGCCGACCCCACTTAGTGGGATTAAAGCTTTGTTGTTGTTGTTGTTGTAAAGAAAGAGAAGCTCAACTATAACAAAGCTATCATAGGCTAAAACTATAGCTATTGTGGTTACTGATAATAAGTTAATCAATTTGCTAAGCCATTAGTTGATATTTTTGTTTTATGAAAAGAAGAAAGATGAAGTATGTTCATTTGAAGTGTCAAAAAATTTGCCCTTTGCATTTTATTTAATATTTTCTCGTGAATTAAACCCTGTGATCATCTTGCACCTCTGTTTTAAGATCCTTCCCTTTTGGACCTGTTCTAAACACTCGATGTAGAATTTGTCACCCCAATTCAAATTATCTTCTATTAATTTAAGAAAACTGAGCCATGTTAGCTGTGTTATCTATAGTGATTAGATTTGCTTGAGTAACATAACTTGGTCTGGATATTAATATTAATCTTCAAGGCAAACCATGCTATCCTGTATGATAACTTGCTGAAGCAACCTAGTTCTTGGTCTTTTAGTGGTTAGATGTCGAAC